TTTAATGAAGATAGAATAAAATGAAAAATAATTTCATAAAATATATTCATTATTTTATATAAAAAATATTATATATATATATTTTCTTTTTGATATCTAAAATACATATATATTTAATTTGTTTCAATATAATATAATTTACTTCACACTAATTTAGAATAGAATTTGATATTTATTTTATTTTTTGATATCTAAAAAATATATATATAATTTGTTTCAATATATTATAATTTACTTGCACACTAATTTAGAATAGTATGATTTGATATTTATTTTTATTTTTTGATATAAATAATTTGTTTCAATATAATATAATTTACTTGCACAATAATTTACAATAGAATGATTTGAAGATATAAATAATAAAAATAAATAAATACGTAGCGATGACATGACGTCACGATGACATAGTGAGTGAGGATATCGGAAAATTATAATCTTGATAATCATAAAATAGTTTGGTATATATTTATTATGCAAATTATAAAATAATAAATGAATATGATGTTATTCTGATTGACATTTTAAGGATAAAATGTGATAAATAAAAAATGATATGGTTTTATAATTGAATTATGAATTATAATGATTATTTGGAATATTTATTTTAATATGCTACTAACGTTTTTCGCATTATTTACAGAAAATTTTTGAATACAACCACTTTTGAAAGGAAATCTATAAATTTTTACGTTTATTGAGGCATGCGTAAGATGTCGCTAATCATTTATCAAAGTTGTGAAATTTTGTCGTGCTAAATGATTAGTTTTAAAATAATCTCACCTCGATAAATGTTTTCAGATATGTTAAGAACATTATCTCAGTAAAGAATCCTGGATTCATTATCATGTTTAAATATTCAGTAAAAACTATATGTTTCCCTTGTGAAGAGAACGTAATTTGACAATACCTTTTTACTTATATATAATATTTATATAAGGGGACATTTTATAATATAAAGTAGATAAGAGATAACACCAATTCAATTTTTCATGGCCTATATATAAAACGAGTCAAAGTGGTCAATCGTATAAAAAATATTAAATTATTCGCCCGAATAATCCAAATGGTATCTTCTCTAAAATTATATAATGTTTTTTTCTTAGTAAATCTATAGGTAATTTCACTGATATGCAAGCTCATTTTCCACCTTTGGTCTAACCCAATCTCAACTAGTTCTTATCTGACTACCGAATATAATCTTCGCTGGCGTTCTAAACTTTGATCTATGTTTTACCAGCCTATACGCTGCTACCGTTTGAGTCATTGTCATTTGCAGGTCATTAATTTATTCTTAACTGGCATGATTACTTCCTTTTAAGGTCTGAATGGTCGTTCTGCCTGCCCATTCGTCTTAAAGTGGCATGGCATTTAAATGCGGGAAATTTTGTTTTCATAACAATATATAGTGTTGTTAATTGGTTGGTTGTATAAAACCAGACCCGGGGTTTGGGTCTAAAAAATCGACCAAACCAGCTCTGAGCACAGACCCGGGGTTCAGACCCGTGGCCCAGACCCGGGGTTCAGACCCGTGGCCCAGACCCGGGGTTCAGACCCGGGACCCGGGGTTCCAGACCCGGGGTTCCAGACCCGGGGTCGTGTCGTGTAACGATTTAATAAACAAGTTAATAATTAAATATTTTTTATTGCAATAATAATAATGACTGAAAGAGGGCAGGGCGGGTCTACTAGGTCTTGGGGGGTCAGGAATAATTTATCAAAACAAAATATCGATATATGGGTAAAATATAATCTTCTAAACTAAATATCTTTAGATTGAAAGTATTCATTTTTTATCTTGATGGGTATGAATGACTTGGTTTTGGAGGTGGATGTATGGGGGGGGGGTGAAAGTGGGGGGGGGGGGTGAAAATTAATATTTTTTATATGGAAATAAAAATATTTTTTTGTAATGATAATAATAATGATAATGATCACTCATACAGGGCGGGTATAGGTCCTGGGGGGGGTGGGGGGTCAGGTATATTTTTATTAACACAAAATATCGATATGGGTGTTGTTTAATTGGTTGGTCTTGGTTGTGTAAATCCCAAACCCGAGGTGGGTCTAATAAAATTACTGCGATCTAAATTAGCAATATTTATATAAGAAATAAGCCAGCATTAACTCGAGTCGAACCCCATAAATAATGTTGTTTCAAATATTTTAATTAAAATTATTTATCAATAATATCGAACTTAAATAGGAAAATCCTGCAAGCAACTCAGCTTATGACTAAAAAATTTTTAATCGGGGACTCTTAGGGCTTGGAAATAATAAAAATGAATTATTATGTAGGTTTGCTTATAGATTATTTCTATACCATCCTGATCTTAGTTCAGAATTAGATACGAACTTTCTGACCGGATTTATTTAATTTCATCAACTAGATAATAAAATTAAGTATCTGTAGCTAATTTTTTTAATAAAATCACCTATTTTCTTATGTGATAAAAAAATTAAATTATATATTTCTATATGATTTTTAAATCTAAAATAAAGATGTGATTGATATTAACGAGTGGCTGCGTCTCTTCTATAAATATAATAAAAATTTTTATTTTACATAAAAAATTCAACATAAATATGATTAATTTAGATCTTATTTAAAAATATTTCCGTCAACATTCTCGATGGAAACAGTTATAATTATAAATTTAATGAAAATTAATTTCCATTTTTTTAGATTTCGGAAGAAAAGGAAGTTTTTCAAAAAAATTTCTAAAACACATTTGTTTTCAATTATAATTTTATTCGTATTCGTAAATATCATCATCATCGTCATAGCTTTTCTTATTATGTATAATATAATTATAATAAGCATATTAAAACTGAAACAGAAAATAAAATATAAAAATAAAATCACATAATTAGTAATCACTATTTTCAAACTTCAAAGATATATATTATATATAGATCGAATTTCCTTTTCGATATATCATATCGTATCCGTATGTGAGTTAAAGAGGCTGTGAAATATATTAAATCAAAAAAGTAGTAATTAATTACCTCAATTATATGGATCTAGTTTTGTTATTTGGTTTGAAGAACCATTTGAAAAATAATTATTTAAGTTAAATTACAGGAAGTTTTTAAAAAATAACAAAAATTTTCTCAACAATTTCTTAAGTTTTTAATAGTCATTTATTTTAATAAATAAAATCGAAATCCATATTTTTTTAATAATAATAATTAATTAATCATTCTGCCATATTGTTATTTTTATGCACCATTCTGTTTATAAAAGTTTGCGATAATCTCTTCAGAATCTTTTTTTAGTGAATTTGGTGATATTAATTAACTTGACAGTTAACATCGCCGTAAACGTAAATTGATTTCTGATAAATAAGTAAATTTTGGTATTTCCAATAAGAAATCTATCGATTTATTAATGTTAAATATTGTTTAAAATTTTATTCAAATTTCATATTATATATGTTTATTATTTATTATATATAGATTAATGTTACTTATTTATATAAAAGTTATTTAACAATAAAAATATTTTATATACTTTTAGAATTGCAATAGAATTGAATAAAAACTATAACTGATCATTATAATATATTTAAATAAATGACATAAAAATTAGATATGATATCGGATCGGTAATCGGTCGATATCAATTTAATATCGGATCGGATAGGCCTCCAAAAAGTGATATCGGTATACACCTACTTAAAACCCAAATTTATTAGTTATACCTTTAAAACCCGTGGTGATCCTGGATAGTTGACATCCCTTTAAAAATTATGACATATATATTATTGGGAATATAAACTTTAATATAATAAAGAAAAACTTTTTATTGGCCATTATTTTATCACAAATTATAAATTTACATTTCTTTTTATTATTTATACATGCATGAATGACGTTGAATTTTTATATTGGTCCTCCTCCCACATTAAATTACAATATCAATATGTGTTAAAATAAAATTTTACTTTTTTATTTTTATTCCGTCATGCATGGGCTACTCTTTTTGAATATTTATTACATATATTTTTATTTTACCATATAAATTTTTTATCAAAAGAAAGAAAATGGTAAGAAAATAATAATAAAAAAAGCTTTTTTATTAATTTAGAATGAATAAGATAAGAAGAATAAGATTTAATTTAAGATTAGAAAATGAAATATTTTTTTTTTACTTTTCATTTATCCGAGCCCAACCCCAAGGTGTAAGTCTGGACCCCTGGTCTGGACCCCGGGTCTGAACCCCGGGTCTGTACCCCGGGTCTGAACCCCGGGTCTGGACCCCGGGTATGGACTCCGGGTCTGAACCCCGGGTATGGACTCCGGGTCTGAACCCTGGTCTGAACTCCGGGTCTGAACCTCGGGTCTGAACCCCGGGTCTGAACCCCGGGTCTGAACCCTGGTCTGAACCCCGGGTCTGAACCCTGGTCTGAACCCCGGGTCTGAACCCCGGGTCTGAACCCCGGGTCTGAACCCCGGGTCTGAACCCCAGGTCTGAACCCCGGGTCGGCCTGAGCACAAAATTTGGTCGTAAATTTTACGACCAAGCAAATTAACAACACTAACAATATAGCCTAAATTCTATGAAACAACACTTTTAGATTCAATTATTAATTTAATAATTTTAAAAACTATATTTAAATTCATTTTTTTATCAATAATATTAATCCTTATTTGACTAGTTATTAATTTAATAATTTTAAAAACTATATTTAAATTCATTTTTTTATCAATAATATTAATCCTTATTTGACTAGTTATTAAATATATTTTTTCTAAATCTTATACCCATAACAAGCTTTTTAATGTAAATAATATAGGTATAATATTAAATATTTATTTTGTAAACTGAAGGAAAGTATTAATTAAATAGCCTTGTTTTATTACAAAGAGTAACTTATATTAATATTAAAAATATTAGTTATATTTTGTCAAATAATTTCTTAACTTGTGCAATATTGATAATTTTCAATAAATATTTAATTTAAAATTAAATTTATGATTAGTTAAGATAAATTCTCATTTGTTAAATCTTTTAGAAATTTGCATTCATTGTTGTCAGGATTCGATTTGTAATGGAAAACAATAGTATATTATTACATTATATTAATATGTAGTTAAATTATTAATGTAGGTTTTACTAAGTTTACGCCAAAAAAATTGGTTAAGTTTCGACATTTTGATGAATATAATCCTAAAAATGTAATCTTGCCAAAAAAATCAATCAGTCAAAAAAGCAATCACTTAACTCACCATACTCCTAAACAAGTCGATAATTCTCCAAAAAAGATTAATCCAATAATTATATCACATGATTGTATAAATAAACATTCCTCAAATTTTACACCTCCTAAAAAGCCACAAAAATTATTTGCCAGCCCGAAATATTGTCAAACTCCAAAACCAGAAGAAATTCCTTTACCTCCTAAAAATTGGCTAAAAACACAAATATCATGCTCAGAAAAATATGAAATATCAAAGGAAATTAAATTATTATTAAATATACCATCATAGTTTTATAATTACCTGATAAAATCTTATATTAAAAATATCTAGACTTATGGATGTTCATTTTTTGATTTACTTGTATTTATTTTTTTTAAATATATTTATATATGCATAAGATTTTGATGTAAATATTTTTATATGGATTTTATTTCTGGAATAAGATATCTTAGGATATCTCTTTAATTTACAATTCAAAAAACATAGAAAAAAAATATAGATGATAATTACTTAATATATAATATATATTCAAATGTTTTGCACATTTGTGTTTCCTACCGGGGCTCTTGAGCCCCCCTACTATTACCAGAAGAAAACTAGCTCATATAATTTATATAATAAACTAATCCTTATAGTTATTTTTTAGGAATTTCCATATCAAGTAATTGATTAAAAAATTTATTTATTTTTTTCATTATTTAATATATTGCATTTATTCAAATAAATATATATTCTATTCTGTAATATTTTATTTTAGCATGAAAATGAAGGATGGCTTCTTGGATTTTGCACCTATTCAACATCACTAATTTAAACATCAGGGCATATATATATTTATCTTATAATTAATAATGTAATTCATATACAAATATGCAAATAAATTTTTTGTTTTTTACTCACAATATTACTAAGGTTGGCAAAGATCCAATAATTATTAAATTGGCTATAATATAAATAAAACTGATAATATTGAGTCAGATTTTTTAAAAAATATTCACCTTATTGGGTTTTAAAAAAAATAAATATTTACTCTGATATGATATTAAATATTGGCATAACCCTAATTTAAAAATACATTTTCAATTTATCAAAAATTTAAGCCCATAACCAAAGGGGAAGGATCTTGTAAATATCATTTTAAGCAAATAAAAATTTTCTCACCCCACAAAAAATGCGAGATCTGCAAAAGTAGGCTGGCCTGAATAGGCTTTGGACCAAGTTAGGCTTATTTTTTTTAAAAAGAAATTGGTTTGGGTTGAGTTGCACCTAATATTTTTTAAAAAATTGGGCTGGGTTTGGTTTTGGAAATTATTTTTAATATATCTAAATTTATCAATTTTATGCTGAATTTTTAATGTAAAATAAAAATATTTTATTTTATTTATAAAAACTAGATGCCATATAACATATATCTTATATTTTGAGTAATTAAAATTATTTCTATATTTAAATAAATTTGTGCCAGACCAGTAAATTTTTTAAAAAAAAATGTTGGGCTGGGCTGGCAAACAAAAACTTATAAAAAAAATTCCAGGCTGGGATTGAAAAATTAGATCCACAGATCCTACAATATATCACTATGAAAAAAAAGAACTTGAAAGAAAAATTTCTAAAAGTTATTAAACAACAAATTCAAAATATTCTAGGAAAAAAATATTTAGTGAAATCTCAAATAATTTTTATAAAAATATCTTAATCAGTCACCTATAATAAGTTGACCTAAAGACCTCACATTTATTGAGGAACCCCCTACTTAATAGTGTTGCCTCCCTCTATCAGAAAATTAGGGATAAGCCTATGCAAAAGACTTGATATGCAGAATTGTACTGATCCAATAAATTAAGGGCTTTACTAAATAGGAATTCAAACTGAACCGTTATTTGTTACCAAACCTGAACCCTTAAAAAATTTGTCACCCCAACCTTAACAACCTCTAAAAATTAACATGAACTGGGTTGAACCTTTTGATATTTTAACTCTTAAAGATTACTAATAGTAAGTTTTGGGTGACTGATTATAATTATCAATAATATATGTTAAATATATTGTTGTGGCCTTAATAGGTTAGATGTATGCTTGGAAACAGAAGGACACACAGGATGCAAGTTCAATCCTGGTAAGGAAAAATTTTCGGGGTTTTCTTCGATGATGTATGTCTTTAAACATATGACATAATAAATTCCTGAGCTGAGAAATGCCACCCTGGTCACCGACAGGCTTGGACAGCTGGGTGCTAGGATATTTGTCCAATAAACCAAAAAAGACAGCCAGCTGAACTTGTGGGTAAGATAATAACGATTTCTTGGCCAGTACTAGGATGATGGTGACCTCTGGGCCTTTCGCTCAATGTCTACCAAGTTACAATGGACTTGATAATGATACTCCGGTGTGAGATCCATCGTGATTGATATAGTGGAAGATCAGGATTGGGATATCTGTTGATTTGATAACTCCGTGTTGGGAATACACAGGTGGGATATCTGGTAGATACTGATTTGATACACTGGTGGGAGATCAAGATACTTAAACCTCTAAAATGATACACCGGTGATCGATACAAATGAAATCGATCAGAAATACAAAGATAAAAATAGATAGCATGAGTAATAATATAATAGATAAGTGAAGGAGCTTACCACCACAAAATGTGAAAGCTAAAAAGGAAAAAACTATTGTTGTTTGATGGTGCTGCCTAGATGTTAGCATATATTTCCTAGAATTTATTCTTCCTCTATATAAATATAATTTGACAAGAGAATATTGTCAATATTTTTATTTGTATGCCATGAATTAAAAATCCTTTCGTTGAACATTTTGAAATTACAGGCTAAACAGGAACCGATTTATGAACAACCCTTCTAACCTGCGGCGGGTTTTAACCCTCTTTATGAAAATAGGCTTTGATTAGGTTCCTGTTATCAAAATTCTCTCTAAATAACGTTTAAAATTTCTGAATCCTATTTGAGCGTTCACATCCCTGTTGTATATCGCTCAATATTTTTTTTAGAAAATAGTGGATAAAATTTATTTACATAATTCTAATACACTTGTGTGCCAAAAGGCGTGAAAAGGTTTTTAAAGATTTAATCACAAACTATATTATTTTTGAGAACCGAACCTTAACCATGAAATGTTATTTTTTTTAACCTAAACTTAGGAAATTGAACCATGTTTCGCTTTTTATGATTATTTATATTCCTCTTATTTTTTTTAATAATCCTAGTATGGATCCATACGAATAGTCGCTAGTTGTGTACTAATTTTTTTAAAAAAATGTAAAATAGAATCATCATCTCAATGGAAACCCATTTATCCCGCTTTTAAATAAAAAATAAATAATTGAGAGTGAATTTGATCTCAATTTTCTAAAAGAAACTGCTCGATCAAAATCTCTTGGAGATATTGAATTCCATATATAATCTAATCAGATAAAATACTAAATTTAGTTTAAAAAGAATGAGGCCCATGTTCTAGTTATAAATTGATTCTGAAACGATTTTTTATTTAACTATCCTGTATACAAATTTAGACGTTTCCTAGAAATTTTAAAATGGTTAGATATAATATACAATCTTATAATGTATTACAATATTTTAATATAGAATTCATATATATGAATTAAAAAGAATTATTTTTATCTTCTTATATATTCCTAAAAACTTTCTTTCTTTCTTTCCTTCTTTCTTTCTTAGATAAAAAATAGAATTAGGGGAAACGCATGGTAACTTTTCAGCTCTCCCAACCGATAAGTGAAGCTTTTGCTTTTTTACGGTCGGGAAGAGAATTAATTGTTTCGGGAATAACCCTGCAAAGGTAAGATATTTTGCCAATGAATGTTCTCATGGCGCAATTTCTAAACGTTCCAGGCCAAAACTACTTTATATTAAATCTAAACATGAAATATTTTGTTTACCAAAATTAAGAAATGAAATATTTTGTTTACTAACAAATTAAAAATTAAAGGGTAGAATTTTTTTTTAATGCCTGTTTATTTATAAAGGAAATATCTGCTTTAAATGGACAATACGATTCAATAAAACCTTTTTCTTATTTAAAAGTAAACTTGATTATCTCTATATTTATTTCATTATTCACATCCCGGAAAATAATTTCATTTTATTTATTTGATTTTTATAAAAACATCAATTTTTAAATAAACGGTCGGTTCTTTAAAAATAACAAATATGCGGCGATTGTAAGAATCAGTCATTTACTATTTGACCCATTTGACCAAACTTAGACCTGTCGGCGAATTTGATTCTAAAATTTTCAATGGGACCAGGGCGGGACTCGAAGAAGGATTTTACAGAACGATTTGAACATCGGCAAAATTTTTCTTCTTTTCCTTGAATATTCACCATAATATTTTTTCCGACTAGGGGACCTTATTATTATTTTTTTTTAAATATCTAATCTAACATATTTTTCTATTATAATGTTTTGGACCGAAAAGGACTTCGAAAATTTGTCAAACAAAGTATTATGCCTTTTCTAGAACCAACTAGGAGTGACAAAAATATAGGCACGAAATCAAATACACATAGGTTCAATAAATTTGTAACGTTGTATTTTCCTTTAGTTTTTATTTTTAAAAACAAGAAATGTAAAAATTAAAAAATAAATTTTATAGTAGTATTTATTTATTTATTATTATATACAATGTTTTGATTTGGTTACTTAAATTTGAAAATGTTTTAATTTATGATATTAATATTTTATGATATAAAATATATATATAAATTTGGCAAGAACATGTATATTATTAGCACAAGTTTAATATTTAATTAATTATCTCTAATTTCTTAGAGTTGTGTTAGCGCTTGGCTTGGCATATTCCAAACTAGTTTGGTTTGGTTTAATCTTGTTTCGTTTTTTTTCCTTCTTCATTTTCTAATTATATATATTTTATTGATAAAATATCATGTTTTAATAATAGAGTATTATAATGAATTTTAAATTAAATAATTACAAATACAATTTTTAGCAAATTTGTCAAAAAATAGAGATAATATATAATAAATGTATAAATATAGATATAATATAAATCCTTATTCGTAACAAGAAAATTAACCTTCCATCGGAAATTAAAATTTATAAACCGCGAAATATTTTCTTAATTTTGTCTTTTGAAAAAAATAAATAATGGGGAGGGGGGGGGTGGCATTTTTGATTGCGAGATTGTTATTTTCTTGCGTTTCAATATGAGAATTTCAAAATAAATTTATAATTTATGATTATATAGTATCAGGAATTAATTAAGAATCGATATTATATATTATACCTCAGAAACGATATTATATATTATACCTCAGAAACGATATTATATATTATACCTCAGAAACGATATTATATATTATACCTCAGAAACGATATCAAATTTTTAGATCCATACCCGATTAAAAAAAATGTTAGGCACGGATTTAAAAACAAAAAAATCATCCGGCCCCAGGTTTTTTTATTAAAATATTTATATTGAGGCCTATATTCAGATTTTTATAAAATGTAGTATTATGTAAATCTGGAGATTTTTCTGAAAGGTTTAGACTTCTATGTGCCAAATTCTAGAGGCTCCCATAATATTATTTTGGCTGTTTCTTAATCGTGTCGATTTATCCCATTAACAACCCTAGTCATAGGTGTCTCCCATTATTTGTTGTTTGCTATCTGAAGAAATAGAGTAAAACATACGTTGGAAATGAATGATAAATTAAGAAGTATATTTATAGAAAACTAATTTAAAATAAGAAGTATATTTATAGAAAACTAATTTAAAATATCTTTTTTTTTAAAAAATATCATTTAGCCAGAACTTAGGCTTAGGACCTAAGTTATTAAAAATACTTTAAATTATAAATGGGATATTTATTTTTTTTTATTCATTAAATCATTATCTTTTAGATCACAGATTATGATCTATGAATGCATTAAGTTTTTAAACGTTAAATCCAAACACCAATGTCTATATGTGTGATAAGTATAATTTTATATGTGCAATTTCGAGTGAAATAGGTAATTAATTTTTTCTTAATAGCCTTATTCTTATTCTCTTTATTAAAAAAATATACATTGGCGCAATCGCGGTATTATTATAAACCCATCGTTATGGACATGTTTGTATGAAACAATAAAAACTATGTAATTAAATAACCCTTTAAAGGAGATGGGTGAGTATGGAAGAGGCACAATATTATAACTGCTAGGAGAATTTGCCCACTAGGTTGTTGCATCTCCACACCGCTCCGGCACGCATTAATCTTTAAAGATTTAAATCTGAATAATAAGAATTTAACACCGATTGGAGACAAGCCGGGAAAATATAATCAGTGACATAACTACGGGGGACTCTCCACTTAATGAGAAAATGCATATATTTTTTAAGAGGTGCTTATTTACCTTGTAGGTATTACCTTTTCAATACATTATAAAATATTTATATTTTACTGCTAAATGATTATCAGGCAGAACTGAACAAATTATGCGAAATATTTTTACGGGCCGGGTCAAAGTTTTGAAAAATTTCTTTGAATGATAATAAATTTACGTCGTTTACCCTCAAAATAATTACTAGCGGGTCCCGATATGTGTCAAATATATTTTACGGGCCACGTAAAATTATGGGTTCTTCTGCTAACTGAGCTCTATTTCCACATATGTTTCAATGAGTATTATATCAGGATTACCTGCCGGTGATTTTACGGTATTTGCATTATTATCAAATTGACTATTTCTTATGATATAGATTTCATCTTAGGAACACGGATTATTTATCAACAAAAAATATCTATTGATATCAAAAATTGGTTTATAATAGTTGCATTTATAATAATATTTATAAAGTATCACCCTTCTAATTTTCCATTAAAATATCTATACCATTGGAAATTTTATTGAGCTTGGTTGGAAAGCCTCTGATTGTTAACATGATCATTTTTCACACTACCCAAATGAGTGTTAAACTGATTCATGGTCAAATATGATACCAATATTATTTATAATACTGTTCTTCAAATTAATATAATCTGAGTTGCAACATGTTACAGAAGGGTGGGAGAGCCCACGCCTAAATTATGCAGATACAGGAGTCTCAATTTATGGGGAGATATCATAATAATTCCTGTTTTTTTTACTCCTGGGATTTGATTTTTGCGTTACATCTCTGAATATGATTATTCATTCAGTTCAGTCTTTTTATATTTTGAAGAGTTTTAAGTATACGCTTCCTTTTAGCTTGATAGAATTCTACAATCATGAATATTTATAAAGGAATATCTATTATTCTACGAAAACGAATATATTTGCAGGAACGTGCGATTTCTATCAAAGAATTCCATTCGTAATTTGTATTTATTGAATTAGAATGACGCTTATTTTTTTTCTTGGAGATCCAGCCAGGATTTTTAATTTGCTTCTATATTAAAGCATTATTATAAATTTTTATGAATGTCTCTAACAGTTTACAATTCATCGATTTATAAACCTTCCTAAAAAAAAATTTCTTCCATATTTTCGTTCCAATATAATCCCGGACAATAAGATATCTAATTGACATCACTGTTAAATGTGACTATTCAGGGGCTAAAATAAAGATTCAGTTTAGATTGATTTGAAAGAAAATTTTTTTTATAATAACTAATTCAGGTTTCGAACTTTTGTCAGTTTTGGTTCTTTTTGGTTCATTTATTTAAAATTCTTTTCTTTCCTTCAAATATTTTAATGCTATCTTACATCATATTAATTATTAATTACCAATGAGAATTTATATAAAAAGAATAAAAATTTTGCATTTTTTTAACATATAATATCACACAAATTTAGTAATTAAAAGAAAGAAAAAAAAGCGAACTTTACCTTTAAGGGATGATGGACCTATAATAAATAATATTTTTTAAAAAAAATTTTCAAAAAAAAAACTTAAAATTTTTTTTAAAAAATAAATGATGTAAATTTTGATCGCTTCATTGCTTTAATACAGGACAATATTATAAATAAATATTATATAGAAGCGTGCCCATGAAGATTTATTGTAACCTAGTGGATAAATTCTTAAAATCATTCTTTATAATAATTATTCTTTTCGACCAACGTATGTTTTAATTTTTTTTCTTCTTTTTTCTCTCTTTTTCTTCGTCTTTATCATGCTAATATATCACAAAATTAGTTGGAGTCTTAAGTCGTGCTTGCCGAATTAATGACAGGCTTCTGACTTGAAAGCAGATTTAGGCATGCTAAGCAACACTTTGATCTCCAGCGATGCTTCAATATGAGAATAAGATAGATAATGTTTTTCTTCCATAAAAATGTATTCATTAAAAGTTTGTTTTTAACAAGTGGTGATATAGATCTCATCGATGACTCACGGCAGGGCGTCACTAGCCTTTACAATGCTAGGGGGTTCATCTACAAATTTTTTATAGGGAGCTTCGCCCCTATGCCTTCTATTTTGCCAGCCTTCGGCCGGGTTTCTTTTAATATATTATACTTTTTAGATTAAAATTTGCAAACCCTGAACTAGTATTTAAAATTTCATATTTTGTCATTTATTATGTTACATAATACTAGGTTATAAATAATGAAAGTTAAACAATACAATTGGTAAGCTAAAGATAATATTTTTTGCAAGTAAAGAATTACAAAAGTGAAAAAAAAATACATTTTTTCCTACAATCCCTTATTACATTAATAAATATTTGTGATTTCGAATATAAGAAAATTTTACAACTAAGGAATTACAAAAATGATAAAAAAATGTTTATTTATTCCTACACTGACTCAATTGATAATAGTTTTCAAAAACCACAGGCAATAATATCTATCATTCATAATTAATCTTCATTATCCAAAAAATTTAAATATGATTCGCTTAAAAGTGTATTTCTTTAAATGTACTTTGTTGAACTCAATGACATATATAATACCTAGACTGACGATTCATTCATTAAAATGCATTTTTAAGCTTCGTTAAAAGCAAATCAGCTGGACCCGCCATTTTCATAACACATATAGTAATTAGTCTCATGTTAAAAACTACTATTAAATTGATAACTTGCTTCCTTATTATCACGATGATCCGGTAATTTTTTAATAAAGTTTGTATCAGATATAGGAATAAATTACGCTCTCGTTTAAAATTTAAATAATGATTAGTGTAACCAATATGGCGTCTCCAGCTGATTTGCATGATGTACACTTTTATAATATTTATACTAAGAATATGAAAAATATCTAATCTATTTTTTTTGGTATTAATGCATTTTCATAAAGGATATGTGTCTTATAAAATAAATAAAATTTCTATATAAAAATTGAAGAAGTGATAGAAAAAATAATTTAAATGAACAATGGTACAATAAATGAATCGTCAGTCTAGGTATTATATATGTCATTGGTTGAACTATAAATTTCATGATCCAATATACCTTTATATGGATTGTTGCTACACCAACAATCATAGTTGCTACACCAACAATCATAGTTGCTATAGTATTCTCATCATATTCCATGTTATAACTAATTTTATCTTTAATTATTTAAAAAAATTATTACTATCATAGCGCTTATCTCCTGATCCAATCTCACATATAGATTTTATTTTTTTAAAATCAAATATCTTGTATATAAATTAATTTGTCTATTTTCTTTCCTTTTTTTGCCTACACTATTTATATCTCTCGCATTCATCGTTAATCTTCTTTCTTCATTATCCAAAAAATCTAAATAAAAATTGAAGTGTATTACACTAAATGTACTTTGTTGAACTACAACTTCTTCTTTATCCAATATACCTTTATATGGATTGTGACTACCAAAAATTATACTTAGCATAGTTTCCTCGTCAAATTCCATGTATATATCTAATTTTATCTTTAATTATATTAAAAAATTGTTAGTATCATAGTTCACATCACCATATTCAACCTCACACACATATAACTTCTATTGTTTTACAAATAAAATATCTTATATATAAATTAATTTACCTATTTTTTTCTCTTAACTTTTTTGCTTCCATTATTTATATCTCACAGAACTACAATTAATCTTCTTTTATTATGGAAGGCATAGTTTGAAATTGAAAAAATATGTACTTTGTTGAACTCCAACTCCTTCATTGTCTCCCCTTTTTCTGTCTAAAATATCATAAACATCAATACTGCTTTCAGCTCTAATAATAAAAACATTTATCTCAAACTCAATATTCTAATCTATATATAATACATAATAGAATTTTAAAAGAATCGTTCAGGGGTCTATCAAAAATTTTTTGCATTCAGGCGGCTATCAGGGAGACATTAAAAAAAATTTATTCAGGGGGCTATTCAAAATTTTTAGGGGGCTCGAGCCCCTGCGAGTCCCCTCCTAGTGACGCTACTGACTCGTGGGTCCCTCCGAACCCCCTTTAAATCGCTGCCGCCGAGATTCTTAAAATGGTTTCCTTAAATAGGATTGGGCGAGTGAAGGAGGAAAAACTCTTCTTTAGTCTACTCGCCTCTCCCGAATAATGCATCTGCATTTTTCGACGATAAAGTTCAATAAAAAAAATGATAAATAAATATAACAAACAACAGAGCGATTGATAGTATTTCCTAATTTAAATGTATCTATTGTTATAAATCTTTTGCGATTCATTTTTTAGAGAATTTTACTTAGTATATTTAAATTCTTTGAAAGATTGTTTATTGAGATATAATGGTAAAATAAGTCTATAGTGGGTTTATACTTTTTAGAATAATAAGGTTTAGCATTTAGTTTAAATAATACATTTTTGGTGAAATATGTGAAACAAAAACCTTAGTTTTCTAACACCCCCTCCCCTTCCCTCCACGAGACAACTCATATTGATCTAAAATCTATACAAAGGTAACCAACCTGACGAAAAATTAACACTAAATTATTTATTTTTTTTAAATTTTCCCCAAACATGTAAAGTCATCATATTTAAATGTTTAAATTGGGGCAAATTTTAAAGAATTTATAATGTTTGTTTACTACTACCAATGACATAAAATAATACCTAGACTGACGATGCATTCATATCAACTAAAAACAGGCTAGAGACGCCATTTTTGTTACCAATAATTTTAAACGAGAGGCCAATTATGTCTATATCTGACGCAAACTTTATTAAAGAATTTCCTGATCATCGAGATAATAAGGAAGCAAGTTATCAATTTGTAGTTTTTAACATGAGAACAATTTATGGGTTACCAAAGAGGCGGGTCCAGCTGATTTGCATTCAACGACGCTTTCAAATGCATTATTATGAATGCATCGTCATAGGTATTATTATATGTCATTGACTACTACCAAATAAAATATTATAAAAGTTTTTATTATAATTTATGATTCTTTTCAAGATAAAACGAATCAAGTCGTCGGTAATGTCACTCTTACTCAACATCCGGCGTCTAATAATTTAACTCCTGACGAAACAGTAAATCAATACCGCTTAAACCTTTTAGATGGCGCCATGGCTTGTCACAAATACATGAATCCTTTCTACGACAATTTTTATCTTAAAATAGTCAAAACAGGTATATTATATATATATTTATAGTTTTATTGGGATCAATGATACATTATAAATATTCGTATTTCCCCCTTTTTATAATAGATTTATCCTGATTCGCCTTATTTTGAAAGTGCTATCTCTTTCGCCATCGTTTCCTCAAAACAGCCTAAAATTGAAAGGGGCTTATTTAGATTTACCTAAAAGATCGTTTATTTATATACCGAAAAAAAATATATAAATAAAAATAATATTTATTTAACTACAAATTTAAACCTAACAAAAAATTGGGCGACCTAATTAAAAAAATCTGTTTAGCCCTGAGCTAAACAAAAATAATTTTAAAAAAATAGGACGAACCTGAAATTTTTTAGGGTATAAACTTATATTACATTAATTGATATATTTTAAATTATATACTACACAATGACATATAAAAATACCAAAACTGATGATGCATTCATTAAAAGTGTACATCAACGAAAACAGCTGGGGACGCCATTTTGATTACCCATAACATTATTAAAAATTTTAAACGAGAGGCCAATTTATTCTTATGTGACGCAAACTTTATTAAAGAATTGCCTAATCATGTAGATAATAAGGAAGCAAGTTCTCGATTTAATAGTATTTTTTAACATGATAATAATTACTATATGGGTTACCAAAATGGTGGGTCCATCTGATTTTACATTCAACGACGCTTTCAAATGCATTATAATGAATGCATGGTCAGTTTAGATATTATTATATGTCACTGATACTATTAAAAAAAAGAATTTTTCTTACTAAGTTGACTTGCCTTATATAAAGCTATTGTAATTTTTTTTCTTCTCTACTTTATGATGACTTGAGGGCAGTTTTGAAAAATTTAAAGGATTCTGAAGATTCTGTCAATTCCACCATGGCTGATGCTAATTTTTAAAATAGGAAAATTTTATTTATCACTTCGTATTATGGGTAAAATATTATTGCTAACAAGCCTGGTTTATACAAAAGTGCAAACCATGTTGAAGGATGTGCTATAAATCAAATTCAATTAGAAAAAGACTGCCTGTTAATTTGAGTATTTTAATTTAAATTATTGTCTTGTATCATTTTTTAATCTTATTAGATAATTACACTGAATTTTTCAAATGTTTTTTCAAAGGCATAAGATTTCATAAAAGGGAGAAATCTAACTTTTAATTTTAAAGGTTCTAGGCTTCAAACATTACAATCTAAAAAGAAAATGTTTATATACTTTCAATATTAAATATAATATTTTATATTAGCTTTAAAACCAATGTGTTTTATACTGTACGATTTGATAATAATGCAGTTTAATGAAAGATTTGATGAGGAATCGATACAATTTTTAGATCAATCATCTTTTACAGCAAAGGGAATGTCTGAGTATTGAGGTTATCGTTAATTTTTCCATTTAAATTCGAGTCAAAATTTTGAAGAATAATCTAAATTTTGAAACATTTATAGGATGGCTAAAAAATGGGGATGTAATTATTACACATGACCTGCAGGTTAAAAAACCGGTTCAGAGGCATTTTAGCGGTTCGGTTCAGGTTCGGCTAGAAATTTTTGCGATTTAGGTTCTATAAAAAATGCTGGTTTTAGCTTTGGATCCCTGATGAACCTATACCCAATTATACTAAGATAATTATCACCCATTTAAAAAAAAACATAACAATATATTTCAAAGATTTTCTTATGGTTCCATCTAACTCATCGTCCCCAATTCCTAAATTGAAAATGGTCCCATCTCAAGTTCACCAATTCGATATAAACGATATAATCAAGATCAGGGACGGTTTTACCTTTTACATTGAGACTGGTTCAGAAACGAGCTTCCAAATTGGACTTAAGAAAGTATAAATAATTTTCAAAAAAAAAATAATCGTAACGACACATTTAGTAGAAGAACCTTCTACTAAAAAATATGTAAAGAGATTAAGGAAACCCTTGCTGACCATTTTTTTCTAATTATCCTCTCCCGTTTTTATATATAGTTTTTGGATTATTATATTATTTATTTAACGATTGTTTGTTAATATCTATTTATTTTTTTCTTTTTTTTTAAACTTCTTTTATTTTATTATATAAATTTCGTTTTCAATTTAAAAAGATTAAATGCAAATAAGAACAATTAGTGAGGTTAAAAATCCCGATTTTGGCTTGATTTTTAAAAACGTCCCGATTAAGATTTTAGCCAAAATAATATAGGATAACTCGAGATTTGGTGAATAGAGGTCCAAATCTTGCTACCATCTATGAGCAAAATCTCCAAGCTCGCATAATATTATTTTTGGTTAAAATTTTAATTAGGCCGTTTTTGTAAATCGAACCGAATCAGCTTTTTAACAACACTACGACTACGAACAATTATACCAATCCGAAAAAGGGAAGTAGAGATCTTATTTAATATATTTCACGGTTTGCGACAAAATTTGCGATATGTTAAGATTATGTTGGAAGGATTCATTTGAGATAACCGTTTTTAATCGCCGTCAAACTTTATTTAAATCAATTTCAAAAGTATAAATACTAAAAATGATGATTAACCTCGTTTTCTTTTCATTTCTTTTCTCCTATTATCGTTGAATTGCTATAATGTTTTAATTCTTATATTTTTCTTGATATTATTATTATAATAATTTATTAAAGAAAGTATTGATATAAAAAGTTTAGGTATAATATGAATTTAAAATAAATTATTTTTTAGTTTTGTGTTTTTAGGTATTAATTTTGTCCGAATCCTATAGTATTAGGGCCTAAGCTACCATCCCTGAACATAGTGTTGTTAAACAGCTCATTTTGAGCCGAGTATTTAAAACGCCTAACTCAATATTTTAGCTAGAAAAATATTGCCTATGCCTAGAGATTATGATAATATATGTATAGACCTTTGTTCTTTCTATAGGCGAAATCTTCAGGTTTGCATAATATTTTTCTGGGTGAAATATTGAATTAGACGTTTTTAAAAATCGCCTCAAAACGAGCCCTTTAACAATACTGCCTGACCAATTATAATACACCAGTCTTAAAACGATAACTAAGATATTTATACATTATATTTATTCAGGATCCTTATCATGTAGATCAAAACGTTTTAAAAGTTTCCTTCGATTTGGAAAATATAGCTTTATTAAACATCACCGAGATGCGAATAATAGTTCACGGTCAGGGGAGGATAGATGGAAGAAAAAAATCATACCGAGGTATGCTGTTCTATTCTATAAATTATAATTTTTAACATCTAACGACTACAAGAAGGTAGACCAGGGCTGGTTGAATCAACCATTTTTAAAAATCAGTTTCTGTGCAATTTTAAATACAGGAAGGCATAATATATAAATCGGCTCATACAATCCCAAACATATTCCATAAATGTTCCCTATCAAAATTTTTTAAAATAAATATAATAATAATTTACAAATATAATTTATTTTTGTAGGCAAACCAAATTATCGGTTTTTATTTTAGGGTTATTGAGCTAAAATTTAATAAAAATTTGAACATAATTTTTGTTTTATTTTAATAAACATTTGGACATATTGAAAACCTGTTTCTTTGTATTAAAATTAGTCATGAAATATGCTGCTATTCAAAATAATTATCAGAACACCATAAGTGCCTGTTAAACAAACCTTCTCAATTATAAAAAAAATATTTAAAGAAATTTAATAAAGAACTAGATTTTTTTTAAATATAAATGATTATTTTGTGTTGGGCAAAAAATTTTCATATTTAACAACAAATTATATAAAACTTTTGATAGTTAATTATTTAAAATATTTTTTTGTCTATGTGTTTAAAGTTGTATTACGATAAAATTTGAATATCCCAGTGTTTCAATTTGACTAAGATCCCTACAATTCAAATGGCCCTAACATCCTTTCAACTAATACGGTAAAACGGCTCGTTTTAAGCTGATTTTTAAAAACGGCGAACTCTATATTTCATCCAGAATAATATTACGCAAGCTTGAAGATTTTGATGTAGAAAGAACAAAGGTTTGGATATCTATTAGTTAAATCTCGTGGCTTAGGCAATATTTTTCTGACTAAAATATTGATTTAGCCGTTTTTAAAAATCGGCTCAAAACGAGTCATTTAACAACACTACTTCCACCTATTATCAAATATTTTATATCAAAACCATTAATAAAAATTTTTTTTATAGCCGAGATCCTTTTCAAGTTCCTGTTCTCCCTTATAAGTGCAGATCAGGGATTTTCGTTGTATTTTCCTTCCCCTTGGACCCCTCAGAGTCCATACATTCATTTACAAATATACGAAGAAATGTTGATCGGTTCGACGCTTTTTTTGGTGAATGCTTTTCCAAGCTTTAAAGGATTCCATCCCGTTCTAAGTTATTCCCTTTTGGAAAACCCTTTCGATTTCTTTACCATAAATCAATTTACAGGTTTAATGAACACAATATATATATCTACCGCATTTTGAAAATTTCGATAAAAATAACTAATACTCAATTTTAAACATGATTATTTCTTTTTATATTATATGTGTCGTGTTTGGGATATGGAATCCATGGAGCATTCGAAATCGTTCAATTTAAAAATAATTTACTGATGGCGATTTTGAAATTTGAAAAGTCTTATTTGATCGGAAATGTATTTCAAGCATGCATAGAGTACTCACACTCTATTGAATTTTAGATAATTTTGCTCTGAACCTTATAACTACTAGTAATATACATTGATTTATATGGATTATTTTTAAATAAATCAAAAATACGCTATAAATTTATGGCTATATAAAATGTCTGAAGTTGTATTAGGTTATACTCCACACATGCTAAAATACATTTTCTGTTAAATGGGATTATTTTACAATTTAAATATCGGTCTAATTATAGTTCTAGTGTTATTACATAATAGCAATATTCAGATTGGTTTAATATATTATTTTTTGATCTAGATCACCTGCAGTAGATGATTTACAATCAAGATTTTTTGAATCCCAATAGATCACCTATCCCAATACTACATTATTGTATTTATATATAGAATTATATGAATAAATTTTTTTAAATAATATTTACAAAAAAATTATCAAATAAAATACAAAAGTGAGTCGTCCTTTTCATTTGTCATTCATCGCCTATAAAAGAATAGGTAAAATCTGTAAATTATTCTTAGTTTAAAATTTCTAATTATTCTTCTCGATATAATATTTTTTAAATACTTTTAATTGAGGTGTGGAAAATTATTATATATAAAAAAAATAATTTGAAAATTGTAATCTTATATTAAATCCTATAAATAAGGAAATTCTCAGTGAAAATTTTTTCGATCTTCTACATTCCACCCCTGGTTAAATATTATAAAGGAGAACCTTATAAGGCTTATTCAAGCAAGAGAGGATCATATCCTAAGAAAATTTCATTACTCAAAAAAAACGTCATGTGCAAGCACCAGGAATTTGATTTATCAGTGAAAATATATAAGAAAACATTCTGCAACAAAATGTTAAGAAAAATTTATAAAATGAGATATTTGTTTTATGAAATAATTATTCAATTATTGTCATTATTGGACCTAACATATTCTTATAATCTAAGCTAACTAAAAGAACATTTTATAATTGAACTCTGAAAAAATGAAATACTCCTTTCAGGTGGATCTCGTTTCAAATGAATATTAATGTTAGAGATTCTAAGCCAATAAACAAATCAAAAATTATAAATAAATTTAAGAATGAAGCCTTTCTTAATCATTGTTAAAAAACAAACTGATGACTATCTGGAGAGCACAATGATATGGGGATATATGAGTTCCAAAATGTATTAAAAGTCTGGTCATTGCAAACGACATAATAAATACCTTAATTTATTAAGACATTTATTAAATCAACACCTTCACCCAATCATCTTCCCGAAGGCGCAAGCGTAACAAGATGGGGAACCATGACACACTGCGATCGATTAAAGAAAATAAAAACAACCGTTGATTTAAATACAATTAAAACTTGGTGGGATATCATTTAAAAAAAGTCCCTTCTAATAATAGGTTGAATCTAAAGAAAAGCAGATAATATATGAAATTCTATTAGACGGGGATCATGTAGAATTCTCGTAAATTCAAGGTCCAATATAATAAACGAAACTAAATAAATTTCATATGGACGATTATTTATGAATGATAAATGAAAATGGACTTAATTTATTAGGCGCTTTTTATGAGTTTAAAGTTTTAGGCGATATTAATTTATTGACAAATTTAAAAAATAAGTTTCTATCCAGTAAGAGAGGGGAGAGGTGACATTACTGTAATCTTGAAATATGTAATTGATTAATAAATATATGTATGAATGAATGAATTAACGAAGAGTAATTTTATAATATATTTAAGATTTCAAACAGGTTATTTATGCATGGAAAAAATAATAAATGAGTTCATTTTCCTAAGTGGTTCTAATAATTACAAGCTAATATTTTTTTTATAAAGGTTATCGCTGGCTTTAATTGTATAATTTATAAATTAATATAATATCTGTCAACAGGTCAAATAACTATAGGAAGAAGGATAGATCTCGAAAAGCTTTACCCAAGAACAAATATAATGATTACAGTCTCGGTCAAAGTATTCGAAACATTGGCGTTCAGCATAGATCCTCAACGACTTATTTTAAATATAACAATATTGGATGTAAATGATAATCCTCCTCTAATACGAGAAAAGGTTTTAAAATATATAATTCTACATATATAAATCTTCTAGGGTTTATATCACACGAAAAATGTATAGATATTGATAGGACAATGAGAAATATTTCAAAAAAAATTTAACTGTAGGCATCTATTTTTTTTGAAAAAGAATAATAAATTTGCATATGCGTGAGTTGGTCAAAATATGTCGAGATAGATTATGTAGAATTTTCCATGGTTATGGCATAAAATATCATTTAGTTGGAAAAGATCTAATTTATTTGTTTAAAAGCAACAAATATTCTCTTCTACCTTTGAGTTTTGACCATTTTTACCCTTTGGCGTTTTGAGTTGTCAATAATATAGTTTAAAATAACACTTTTTTAAAATCATTGCCATCTTTATTTTTACATCCGAAAAAGTTGAATTTTTTTAAAAAGCCTTCTGGTTAAATTATAATTAAAAGTGTTGCCGATATTTCTCCTCTATTTAAACATTAAGCTTGGTCCGCTACTTTAAGACTACATTTTAAAACGCTTAAAATGTTGAAAGTTAAAAAGCTCCTATCTTTCTACATTGATAACATATTAAGCGCGGTGTTAAATAGTGAATAAGGACGAGGCCGAAGTCGAGCGAATGTAATATAATATTTTACCTATTTTTTATACTTACACTTAATATAAATATTATTATAATCAAATCAGGAATATCACTTTTCGATTCCCGAAAATGTCACATCCCCTTTAGAGATAACCAGATTTGAAATAACGGACATGGACGTAACCAAGCCTTCCTTGCATATCTTCAAAATAGATTCTATTTCGGATAAAAAAAATAATCCAGCCACCAATTCTAAAAAGGCGAATAAAAAAGACCCAATCGAACACGATATCGGGGAAATGTTTGAATTTGTCAGTAAAAAAGATTCGAGCCTAAAACAGTTAAAATTGGAGAAAAGTAGGGGAGACGGGCTTCGATACGATAACTATTTAAACGCGGAACTAGAGAGCGAAGAAATGAAAGATATTTACGAATATTTTGATGAGGATGATATAAACGAGGACAGACTTAATAAATATGGGAAGTAAATTTAAAGATATCCATAGTTTTTTTATTTTAAAATTTATACATTTTATAAAAAAATTATTCACTCATTTTACTTTTTTTGGGGAAGTTTGAGGAAATCCAGGCTAATCGGGGCCTTGAAAAGCAATGAATTAATAGATTTCCCACCACTCTCTTTCTTAAAAAAGAATAAAATATGTAATTTGAGAGGTATGAACTTCAAGCGATACAACTCTTTCTGCTATTTATAGTAATACATCGATGTCCTTTATTTGAGAAAGAAAGAAAGAAAGAAAGAAAGAAAGAAAGAAAGAAAGAAAGAAAGAAAGAAAGAAAGAAAGAAAGAAAGAAAGAAAGAAAGAAAGAAAGAAAGAAAGAAAGAAAGAAAGAAAGAAAGAAAGAAAGAAAGAAAGAAAGAAAGAAAGGAAGGAAGGAAGGAAGGAAGGAAGGAAGGAAAGGAAGGAAGGAAGGAAGGAAGGAAGGAAGGAAGGAAGGAAGGAAGGAAGGAAGGAAGGAAGGAAGGAAGGAAGGAAGGAAGGAAGGAAGGAAGGAAGGAAGGAAGGAAGGAAGGAAGGAAGGAAGGAAGGAAGGAAGGAAGGAAGGAAGGAAGGAAGGAAGGAAGGAAGGAAGGAAGGAAGGAAGGAAGGAAGGAAGGAAGGAAGGAAGGAAGGAAGGAAGGAAGGAAGGAAGGAAGGAAGGAAGGAAGGAAGGAAGGAAGGAAGGAAGGAAGGAAGGAAGGAAGGAAGGAAGGAAGGAAGGAAGGAAGGAAGGAAGGAAGGAAGGAAGGAAGGAAGGAAGGAAGGAAGGAAGGAAGGAAGGAAGGAAGGAAGGAAGGAAGGAAGGAAGGAAGGAAGGAAGGAAGGAAGGAAGGAAGGAAAGAAAGAAAGAAAGAAAGAAAGAAAGAAAGAAAGAAAGAAAGAAAGAAAGAAAGAAAGAAAGAAAGAAAGAAAGAAAGAAAGAAAGAAAGAAAGAAAGAAAAGAATAGAAAAGAATAGAAAAAAGAATTAACTAATATTATGGAAAAAAAAATTTACATTAGGGAAAAAGAAATGCCGATGATGACTAATAATATTCTGATCTTAAAGGAAAACGCTAGGTTAGATCGCGAAACAAAATCGAGCTACGTTTTCTTGGTTACTATTTCAGACATGACGGATGCAGGACTTACGAACAAAACAACGAATATTGGGAGGATGAAAACTTATTTTTACGCAAAAATATTAGTTTTATATATATTTTAAGTTTAAATATTTTAAAAAAATTAACTTAAATTTTTTTAAATAATTTAGATAATTTTTTGACACAAAAAAAATACATTAATAATTAAGTACCATTTTTTTTTAATATTGGTTTTAAATTAAATAATATGTGCTGCAAAAAGCAGCATGAAAGCTAAAAAAAAATTTATCGGCCAAGTTGAGAAAATCGTGATCGTGTAAAATATTTAGTCTGGGTATTTCATAAAAAAAATTTAATATTGTTTTTAATTTTTTTCTTTTTTTTTGTAAAATTACTATTTCCTTTCCGATCACACATTTAGAGCAAACAAACTAATATTATTATTTTTTTAATATAAATAAAAAGATTTTCATAGACATAATAGATGTGAATGACAATCCACCAGTATGCAATATGGGAAACAAAGTCATAACAGTTCCTGATATGATAGAGATTGGATCGGCTATCGATATAATATCCGCCACGGATTTTGATGACGCTTCTAGCCCCAATGGACAAATTCATTTTTATTTAAACAATGATAAAAATGACGAAGGTTCCATTTTTTTCTTTCTATAACAAAAAAAATGTCATATAATTTTGCTTTTCCGAATTACGCTAAAATGAATATTAGAGGTTTATATTCATTATGAAAAATAACATAATATATAGAGACTTTGCTATAACTAGGGTGAGGGGGGGGGTGAGCTTTTCCTACGCCCCCCTAACAATGACACTGAATATATAATTAATTATATGATAATCAATACAGAACTGATAATCGTAGAAGAATTAACGGGATTAATAAAAGTAAAATCATCATTCCTGGGTCTACCCGTTAACGCTTTTAGAAAATTTTCTTACAGAGCTTGTAATTCAGGACCAGAATTTGAGAACTATTGTTGCCATGACACCTTCGCAATCAAAGTTCAAAATGAATATGGTGGTAGTTCCGCCAAAACTGAAGGGATCGGGATCGATACCGATGGACCACCTAATTATATTGTCATTTACCAACCAGCGGACGCCTATGATGTGGTGGATATACACGAGGTATGATTTTTTTTTAAATTTTAATTGTAATCTATTACATTTATACTATTTATATGCTAAAATCGATTTTTTTTGAACAAAACTTACATAATTTAATTTATCGCTTAGGATATCGCCTTGGGCTCTAAGGTTTACGAAGTGAAAGCCAAAATCGAAGGCGGCAATAGGGAAAGCTGGAGATCTCCTCTCGCGGTTCCTCACGATGGAGGCGATAATTTTCACTCCCAAAATTTGTTTAAAACGTCGAGAGATAGAAGGTTTCAAATTTATTACAAGATCGAAGAGATTCCTATATACCCAGAAGATCACCTCTCTTTTTTCATCCATCCTAAGACAGGGATTATTTACACCAGGACTATTCTAGACGCTGAGTCTAAACGAATATATACGGTTTATAATATAAATCTAATTTCTTTCATCTTTTTAAGTTCAATCTTATTTTTTCATAATATATTAGTTAATTCCTTTTTCTTTTCTTTTCTTTTTCTTTTCTTTTCTTTCTCTTTCTTTCTTTTCTTTCTTTCTATCTTTCTTTCTTTCTTTCTTTCTTTCTTTCTTTCTTTCTTTCTTTCTTTCTTTCTTATCTTTCTTTCTTTCTTTCTTTCTTTCTTTCTTTCTTTCTTTCTTTCTTTCTTTCTTTCTTTCTTTCTTTCTTTCTTTCTTTCTTTCTTTCTTTCTTTCTTTCTTTCTTTCTTTCTTTCTTTCTTTCTTTCTTTCTTTCTTTCTTTCTTTCTTTCTTTCTTTCTTTCTTTCTTTCTTTCTTTCTTTCTTTCTTTCTTTCTTTCTTTCTTTCTTTCTTTCTTTCTTTCTTTCTTTCTTTCTTTCTTTCTTTCTTTCTTTCTTTCTTTCTTTCTTTCTTTCTTTCTTTCTTTCTTTCTTTCTTTCTTTCTTTCTTTCTTTCTTTCTTTCTTTCTTTCTTTCTTTCTTTCTTTCTTTCTTTCTTTCTTTCTTTCTTTCTTTTCTTTCTTTCTTTCTTTCTTTCTTACTTTCTCTCTTTCTTTCCATAAAAACAAAAAGGATCTTGACATAAGTTCCGAATCATTGCATCAATATTTTGTTTTAATTTATTTTTAAAATATGTATTTAATAGATAATAGTGAAGGCTAGCACGGGAGATTTGACTAAACAAGAATCCAAAATGATTACGATCAGAATAAGGGATGTGAATGACAATAATCCGATATTCATAAATGTTTTATTTTTTTTAAAAAATTCTTTTGATAATATAAATTATTACATCATGCCATTTGGTAAAAGGAATATATAAATCAAATAGTTATTTAGCGATATATCAATTATTTAATGCATGAACAAATCGAATTCATACAATTTAAAATTTTAGTGGGCCTTATATGTTAAGAGTTGCTTATGTATTTAATGATATATTTCAGTGCCATACTATAGTTCCATTTAATAAACAAACAATTAATAAGCTGAAGGGTTCAAAAAAAAAAATTCGCTTTCTAAAATATCTATAACTCTAAAACGAGTCCATTTAAAGATAATATTAAATATTTTAAGAATAAGAATATATAGAACTCAAAAACCTTGATGAGCCTTGATATTTTTGGCCCAGGCCCGCAGTAAAAATTTTTTTATGGACTCCTGGCCCGGCCCATATTTAATATTAAACCCATATCCACCTAACCTAATGTTACTTAATACTTACTTGTGATACTAGTAAAAAGCTCGATTTTAAAAAAGGCTAACCCCATATTTTAGCCAAAAAATATTACGCAAACTTGGAGATTTTGTTCATAGATCACAGAAAGGGTTTGGGCATAATATTTACAAATGATTAAGGCTTGCGTAATATATCGAGATAGTTTAACAACACTAATTTTCGAGTTTACGCTAAATGATATTTAAATTTATATTAAATGAATTTCATGTCAATATTAAAAGAAAAATGGTGAAGATCCACTAGTGTTAGAAGCGATGAAAAACGCAAATATAGGATCAAAAATAGGCTCAGTTAGCGCCATAGATAAAGATGCGGAAGAAATCAATTCTAAGATCTATTATCACATGATTCGTAAATGAATAATATTTTCGTTGTTAATTCTTTACCAAAAATATCCAAATATTATTAGGAAAACAGAAAATTCTTATTTTTTTAAAAAAATAAAGACAACACGATAAAATAAATAAACATAATTAAGGACCATAACGTGGTGTAACCACTGCAAGACCTCTTAGTAGCATTTTGGGAGAGACAAAAAAAAACTATCTTCACTATTATTATAATTATCAGAGTTGTTAAAGCTCCTTTTTAAAAGTAGCTAGCTCCCGCTCCCGCTACTACATTTTTAAAAGGAGCTAGCTCCCGCTCCAAGTAATAGAGTGCCACTCCATTGCCGCTCCTTTGATTTTCATTTTTTTAGAAGGTATACGAAACAAAATCATATTTTTTTTTATCTAAAAGCTTTATATTAAATGATCTATCAAAATATTTATAACCTTTTACTTGCTTTTAAAAGTAATAAATTTTCTAAATTAGAATCTAAAAAACATGCACGCCTCTGCCCTAAGACCTGTTTTGCAATACTAAATAGGCACTTGACAGGAGCACTAGGGGGAAGCGGGGTATTATATTTTATAAAGATATTTTTTAATTCAGAGAATTTATCAAAAATAGTAATTTTGGTATCATTATTTAAAAAATATTTGTCCATATATTATCTATTCATGATCAATTTCATGGAATCCAAAAAAATCTATCAATTTGTATTTAAAAAAAAGATTTTTTACCTTTAGATGCTTTTTTAGATTGAAGCTGCTCACTTTTGAAAATTAAATAGTTTTATTTAAACACAAAAGACATTTTGCCCTTAAATTTGATTGATCATGGATCAACATTAGAATTAAAATATTTTTTGTATGATAGAAATGGAAATTAGATTTCTTCATCTATGATCTCTAAATCCATAATATCTCAAACTATTTTTTGTATGATAGAAATGGAAATTAGATTTCTTCATCTATGATCTCTAAATCCATAATATCTAAAACTATTTTTTGTTATATATCTATAAAATGCATATTAAGACTTACAAGATTTTCCAAAAAATTTTCAATATAAAAAGGAAAACTTGATGTTTAATATTTAAAATGATTAGATGAAAAACCAATATAAAACTAGGCTAAACATTTAATAATAGATAAATTTAAATTTATTAAAATTTCATTTTTATTGAATTTTAATAAATAAATATTATTAATATTTAAAAAATAATTTAATTTATACATTAAATTTAAAGGAGCGGTGGAGCGGCGCTCCTCCACTCAGCCCTAAAAGGAGCTAGCTTCCGCTCCCGCTCCTGGTCCCGCTCCCCAATTTGTTTTTGAAAATGTAGCGGCGCTCCATCTGAATTATAAAATATTATATTTATTAATGAATTTTAGCTTTTAATTATAATACTTCATTAGAATAGTTTTTTAAAAAATATTCACATATGCCAGCCACCCTCATGCAACTTACGAGTTTTTGTTGATCAGTTGCGATGTTTTGATAACGTTAAATATTTGATTTTACAATTTTTTGAAAAAAAAAATGATTTGATAAAAAATATATCACATGATGACTTTTTTTAACGTTCTAAATGTTATTTGATTTAAAAAAAACAACTAGTTTTTGGTTATTGAGACACGATTTTTTGAGAAATGATTGCTGGCTTTTGGGAAAAATACGAGGGGTCATGCAGTGGTGACCATAAGTTGAGTTGAGTAATTTCGCCATTTTTAGCAATTTTAGCCAATTCTTAACTAACCTTTAAAAAAAGAGGCTAACTAGGTTTATAGCTGAAAACTATCACACTTCAGGATTTTTTTTTTTGATTCACTTTTTAAGTAAGTAAAAAACAAATTAACTCGCATATCAATGCTCAGCGAATTATATAATTTTTTTTTCAGAACGCGCCTATAAATTTAAGGAAATTAGTATGTTTTTTTAGCCATTACCCAACTATATTAAGGACAGTTTTAAAATAAAATACTAGCGGTCTGACACCATTTTTTTGGTTTTTCTAATTATATATATTGTTTTCAGGTGATGACGTTTTTTAAATAATGCTTAATGGTTCTAAAAGTCACTATTTTAGAAAAGATAATTTTAAATTATTTAGAAACGAGCTAAAACACCCTGACTTGTTTAGTAAAGCATTATGAACACGCTCTATTATTAAATCATAGAGAGAAATATCCTGGACAAAAAGGAAGCCACGAGAAGAACCCCGGACAAAAAAACACTGGACAAAAATACCTTTGGATCCCAATTTAAGAAATTTGTTTAAATGCTAAAAAAATAGACAATTTTAAATATGTTTACATATTTTTAAGACTACACTTTTAAGGCTTTTAATTTTATTTTTGAAATTTTTCTTTGTCCGTGAATATTTTTGTCCAATGTCTTTTTGTCCAACATACTTACTTCCATTGTCCAAGACATTTCTTGATTTCTTAAAATGACCTATAAATATTTTTTTTTAAATGTACAATTTGAAGTTTAATATATAAAAAACAAAATAAAACAAATAAAATGTATATATAAATAGATGATGATGGTAAGGTTTGGCTAGAGAAAGAAACTGGTCAATTATTCGTAAACGGGAATCTTTCCGAATCTTCTCAAATCGCGAAGAGTGCGATGACTAATGATTACAATGTATCGTTCCTCCAATTAAACCAGCTGCAACATTTAGATCCTATTGTAAAGCAAGATTACGCCAGGAAAATCGAATTGATAATCCAGGTGACTAATTCAAAGATTCCCCCGAGAATCACCAAATTGTTTTACCAATCCCTCCTCAAGGGAAAAATATATGATCCATCTATTCTTCGGGTCACGATCAAAATCTTGGAAGATTTAAAATCTGTTCAATCGAACTCAATCGAATTCGACAAACGTTCGCAAAAATATCTAATCGGTTAAATATATTCGATATTATGATATAAAAATTTGTTAATACGAAATAAATTTAATATATCTTCACTAATATAAAATTTTTAAGCATCACGGTAAAATTATTGCTGGGTAATTTCTCGTAATTTAGTTTATTTTTAGATGCCTAAAAAAGTGACTAAGATTCATTTTCAGACTCGATTTTAGAAAATAACAGCTTAATTTTGAAGAAGGTATAAATAGATTAATTCGCGTCTCAATGATTAACTTATTAACTAAGGCGCTCACCTATGATTGAGACAATTTTTAGTCATTACCCTCCCAACTATACATCCCAGAAGGTTAAATTTAGACCTTTATCTTCATTCATGATAATCGCATCCTTCCCTTAATTATTAGCATCTCCAAAAGGCATGGGCATAAGGCGTGTTATTTTTTTATAAAAATGATAATTGCTTTAAATATATGCAAATAAAAATTAAATCCATTTACTAGAAAAAGAAGAGGAGGATACTCAAATTGTAGGGGGCCAACCAATGGGACTAATCAAACTCAACCCCATATTGAAAGACCTAAAACAATTAGTCGGTATCGAAATGGTAGGCCAAGAGTTTTGTAAGATAGTAGACCTCCCATCAGCATTACGTGATGACTCTAAAGATTTCATAAATTACGATCTGCCAAAATTCAAAGAAATTGGGATGGTGAGATGCCATACGTCTTCGATGCCGTCAAAATTTAGTTTATTAGCGCCGGTAAACGGGGAGGAGTCTACCACGTATTACATGATGAGGAATAAAGAGAGACAAACTAATACCAAAACTTTGTTTCATTTGAAGGACTTAATGGAGGACGCTTCGCAAATAACGATGCCCGATTCGTTACTCAACGGGTATTTTGATCTGAAGTTTTCCGCCATTGTTCAATCTCCGTCAAAGAAATCACTTAGGCCAGAAAGAATTTTCTATCAACTTAAAGTATATATTCTAATGTATTAAGTTATTACCTTTTATATTATATCAAGGGGCTTCCGCTAATAGTTTTATTTATGAAGTTACACTGTTCCTTTAAACTTTTTGCCAATATGTTAGAAAAATAGGTATAATAGATTAATTTTAATTTGCCTTAAAAAAATGGTATTATATACAAAAGGCGTGCATTCGCATGGGCCTAAATTTGAGTACATTCCTTGTCCCGAATAAAAAATTTGTCCTGACCCGGCAATAACTTTAATATTACCAATATATTAGATCTATTATTTATCAATTAAATCAACTTATATAAAATATTTTTTAACTGCTCATGTAGCCTCTAATATAGTATGCACTCATTTAGTAACCTTGACCTATGTTAGTATTGCTGAATGAACTAACTTTATCCAGTTCCATTGCAGCTTAGCCTAGCATTTGCCCTAAAAAAATTGACTTTAACCTAAGACAAATATTTTAGCATAAAAACTTGGCTAAGCGCTTTAAAAGTTGGTCAAAGTTAGGACAATTTAGCACCAGCAGTCCATATATGCATTTTGATGGAATCAGGGATGTCATGTTAGCTTAAATTTTACAGAAGGAACTCCATCAAATTTGTTCAGAAAATACAATATAGACCTGACTTAAAAAAACATAACTGCGATGAGGTGAATTGGAATATTCGATCATTAGATTTAAGTTGAGATAATTTTCTGACCTCTTGTAGTATAAAAGTAATCTTAGTTTGTTAACTTTTCTGTTCATACCATATTATATAAAATAATATAGATTTATCGATGAACTACTCTAAAGAAATTATTTCCATATGAACATTATTAGAGGATATAATAAGTTTAATCTTGTTATTTCTTTCCTTTCTATTTTTTTACAGGGATTAGTTAAAAGTTTAATTAACCTTACCGTTATATAGGCAGGATTACGAACCCTTCTCTTTTTTAAAAATTGCGATAAAAATCAAAACTGGTCATTATTTTGATTTAATTCTTTTTTTAAATAGCGTTAACCTAATAATTTAGACAATAATCATATCAAAATTGGTAAATATCTAATGAATACTTTTGCGGATATGCGGCAGGAATCTTTTTCCCCTATGAATAGGTGGTAATTAAAGGTTAAAGAGTTGTATATTATAAGTCTGCAATGGACTGCTTTTCGTCAACAAACCTGCCTACTCGTTGTTTAAAGCCACCAAAGGTCTTTTTTATATATTCACTCCCCCCCCCCTCCCACCATTTAGCTAATAACTCTGTTTTAATGTAATAAATATATTTAAAAATAATTTCATTAAAAATATATTTAGACTCAAACAATTTGGGACAGCTATAAATCAAAATTTATCATTAGAGGCTTACCCGAAGAGAGTGAAATATTCTTACAGAATATCTCAAGGTAAAACTATAACAAAGGTTTTATAACATGATATATATTTATTTTGATTTGTTTTTTTTAAAGAATTGGTTTGGATAAGTTTCATGACACTAGAATAATTATAATAATACAAGGATTCAATAAGTTGAATCGAATGAAAATTATAAATTATGAATAATTTCGCTATATTTTATCATTTCAAAACTTGTAAAAATCATATAAATTGATATTGCGTTATAAATGATATATTCCTAAATTAAAATCCTATATCTTTGGTATGCTAAAAACAAAAGACCGGTACATAATATTGTATTTTATTTTTAAGAGATGGACAAATATTAAATATTTGTTTATTTTATTGTCATATCACCTAGCAATTATCAATATATTTATCTATTTTTTTTATGGATTTCAGCTTTTTCAACCGAAACTTCCAAGATTTGGGTTTAAGCATGACATTGGATTCATTGAACTACTACATGCCTAATCAGGGGGTCCTTAATTACAACTTTTCAGAGGCTTGTTTTCACGTTTCCAAGAATGGGATGGTCTTAGAACCATCGGAAATAAGGAAATTCATGTTAAATAATCGGAAAGTTTGGAATAATTTGCGCCAAAATGGGATCGTTCGGATAGAGGTTTTATAATACATATTTTCTTTTTATACCCTTTGCGGAGAATCGAAGTGAATATATAACAAGAATGGGAAAAATATAACTTCTGCATAAACAATCAATTTTTTTAAAAAAATAATTCATAAATAAGAGTGGGGAATGGTATATATATAGCATCACTCAATATATAGTAATTTACTAAACAACGTCCTAAATTTATTAAAAATGAAATAGTACCTATTTTCTTATAAACTATAACCGCATCCCTCTAATCTTCAGGTTTTAAAAGAAGAAGAAAAGTATCTAAAGAAAGAAATAACCCGAGTTGGGATCAAGCAAACGTCTTGCTATCTTTCACTCAATGTCTCTAGTCTCTAAGTTGCACCTGCCACTCTGAGACAATGATTTTTTTGTATGTAGGGATAATTTCCTAGATTTTTTGAAAAACACGTAGAAAAACAATAAACTCGACGCTATACATCATTATCTCTTAGACATATCCAAGATAACCAACGAAATAAGTCAAAGGAGGCTTTGCCCCAATAGCTCTAATTATATGAATCCTAGAGGGGGGGGGGAGAACAGAAGATTTAAAAACTATTTATTTCTTTACAATCTTTATTTTTCTAATTAAAAAAAAAATCATTAAAGAAATGTTATGTGGAAAGTTTATATGAGCCTCAAGTCATGGAAATCGTTTTAATCGGGATAGCTATTTTGCTCATTTTATTCATCAATATTTTGAGTGTTATACTTATGTTCTACAAAAAGGAGTAAAAAAAAAAATTTTTTTTTTTATATTATATGAGAAATTAAAAATATTTTATAATTATTAATTTAATTAGTAAAAGTATTATCTAAAAATTTGTAAAGTATTATCTTAAGATTTAAAATGTATCATTTCAGTTTCACTGTAGTTAAAACGTAAAATGCTTCTTTCAAAAAATTATTTATTTTACGACTATAAAATTTCTTTAAAGATTAATGGCTCCTTGAAGAAACGTAGTAATACAGGAAGTGTTATGTTTAATTTGTATATAATCATAGTCATTTCATTAGAAGAAAAGAATTCATTTTTTTAACAATAAATAGAGTTCAAGTTCTTCTGATTTCCACTTAGTCTTTTAAAATTTTAAACCTAACTCGACAGATAATAAAAAAAATTAGAAACAGTCCTCATATGTAATAATGGATGGGAATGAGGGATGTTAGCTTTCGGCTTAGGACAATATGTTCACGTATTTTAACCAAATTATTATTTTTCAATTGGTCCTATCTACTTTAAATCGAGAACAGATTTGACAGAGTGGCATTTACATATATGAAAACCGCCGTTCATATAATAGTTCGCGATGGTCATAAAATAGTACATTATATTTATTTGGTGGTTGAGTGTTGTTTTATTTCTTTTATCAATTTTCCAACTCTAAATATTTATTGAATGCGTTTTTTTAAGTTTAAAAACAAACCGATTTTTTGCTATCAATAAGTGATTTCAAGTTGAAAAAATATGCAGAAAATATAAAAAGACCACTCAAACTATCACTTTACTTTAATATTTATATTTCAAATATTTGATGATTATTTTTTTTAAAGTTATTTAATAAAATAGTACAAGTTTTAATACATTAAAAACATCCACAAATTAATAAACTGTATAAAGGGCCTGATTTTTTTAAGAACATAGGTCTCGTTTTATCTTTATATATTATTTATTTTTGGCCAATGACTGAAGGATCTCGACCTATACAAATAGGCATATATTACATTTTGAACAAAAACAGAATAATTTATTACGTGAAAGATGACACTAAATCCCAACCTGACGATGCCAAAATAAACTCCCAAAATAAGGATCAATTCATCAAAAGCAAAGAATTCTACTTTGGGAGAGAAAGGGAAAAAGAGCCAAATGTCATATCTCCAGATTTTTACGAATGGCAGGTTGTTAGAAATGTTATAACATTATACAATGCAATTACATGCATAATTTGTTTTATAGGTCATCCGGGCATTTGCGTTTATAAGGATTTCTAAAAAATTGGATATTAAAAAATATGAAGAAAGAAAAATGATACGTTTTCCGTGCAATTTTTATCATATTTTTAAATAACAACATTATGTGACTAGAAGGCCTAACTGAACCGAACTATACCGTTATACGGAAATGAAACTTTAAATAAATTTATAAAAAGAGCAAACCGAAATTATAGAATTTTTTTGAACCGATTTGATAAGTAACAATTTTCTTGGGGGAGATTTTATCATTCTATGCTAATTTTTAAAGTAGGCTGCTGACCCTACCATCTTTTCGCATTTATTTTAAAATTTTTACTTGCTTTATTATAATATAATAATTAAAACCATCATGATATAATAATGTTCTGATATATAATAAATTTTATTAAAATAGACAGTTGACAAAAATTTACTTTACCCTCTAGTTTAAAGTGATTAAACATATGAAAGTAGTTAAATTTTATTTTATTTTAATTCTATATTACAAAATAAAATATAAATGAATGAGAATGCTATTTAGACCTTTGGCCTGAAAATAACATTAGTATCCTTTGATATAGTTTTGTTAAACGGCCCGATTAAGAATTTAGCTAAAATAATATTATGTAACCCTGCAAATTTTGCTCATAGATGGCAGAAAGGTTTGGACATTTATTTGGCAAATCTTGAGGCTTATATACTATTATGGCTAAATTCTTAGTCGAACCATTCAATCGATCCAAATCGGGTCATTTAATTTGAATAGAGTTGAGAGAGATACTTCCTAGATGGCCTACTGTATATTTTATAGACTCAAAATCAATTTAATAAAACAGAAAAAACCTTAGTATACGTTGTTAGAGCGAATTCACGCCGAAAATAGGAGATATTCTTAATATTTTTCGCAGCGAATTTTGTATGCTTCACTACAAATTCGCGCTAACTGTAAATCAGGGGTTAATCGGAACCTTTATAAAAATTTTCCCCTGAACCGTATTACCAAACAAGAATTTTTATTGATAGCGGTTCAGGTCCCTGTAGGCGAAAATTATTTACTTTAGTAATATTTATTATCAAGGGTTAAAAAACTTAACTGATCATTGAATAATTATAAATCATTTACTTACATATCAATTATTAACTTATATGTAATCACTTTTAGAAAGCTTACACAAAAAAAATATAAGTAAGTTTTAAACGCAACGTGAAAATTAAGCTAGCCCGGACGGCTTCTTTATTAGCATTGTTAAAATGCCATAATTTAATCCTTTTTAAAAAAAACCCCGATTAAGATTTTAGCCAAATTAATATTATATAAGCCTGCAGATTTTGAGCAGAAAGATTTGCATTTGCTACATCACAGGCCTGCATATTATTTTGGCTAAAATATAACCGTTTTTAAAAAAAGAAAAGATCCTAATCGGATTTTTTGACACTATTCTTTATCGCCTTTTGTATATATTTTTCTGCAAGCTTTCATTTCCTTTAAGATGCGTTATATATAATGGTTCAACTTAAGGAAATTGCCGTTAAAAGAGCGGTTTGTCAGATTTGATAAGTTATTAATAAAAACTGATTAATTAATTAGACATAACCATTTTAAATATATTTTAACCCTAACCTATATCTCTTTAACCTTTAACCCTACTCCTTACTTCAGATACCTTTTTAATTTGAAATATATTTCAACCAATTTATAATCTCCTTCAGTTGAACATTCCTTGAGTTGAGCTATTATAATGTTATATAGTATTTTATTAAAAGAAATGGTTATGAAATTAAACAAAATAAAGCACTAATATATTATACCTTAGACTTAACTTTAAAAATTTATATATTCCTAGGAAAAAAGTTTAGATATGATCGAAGTGAATTCTTACAAGGATAAAAATGACAGCAAACTTTATGGGACCTATTATGAAATTTCTAAGCATGAATGAAACTTTTTATTAGTGAATTATAACCCATTATTTTTATAGAAATTTTGACGTTATAATTGACATTTTTTTTAATACAACCAAAAAATCCTATAACTGTACCTTTTTTTTATAATATAAAAGGTTTAGTTTCTTTAAATATAAGAAGATTAGGTCTAATTTAGTACTGTCAAATGGCTCGATTTAAGCCAACTTTTAAAAACGACTAACTCAATATTTCATCCAGAAAAATATCATGCAAGCCTAAAGATTTAGTTCATAGGTGTCCCAAAGGTTTGGTAATCTATTAGCTAGATCTCGAGACTTGGGCAATATTTTTCTGGTGATAAGAATGAGTTATTCTAAAAAAAGGCTTAAATTTAACCGTCTAGCATCTAAATGTAATATTGAGGCGCAATTATTCGTTATAAAATAAACTTTTCTAAATCAGAAACAAAAATATGGTATCTGTATCTAGAAGCATCTATTTGAAAAGTATCTTATATCTTATCTCGACACTATTTTAAAGGTATCTCTATCTATTTTTACGTTTTTTATATTAAAAACAACAATATTTGAATTAAATTAATTTAATATGTCCCCGAGTTTATTTCATTATAAAAACAAAACGAATTTTACTATACGCAATGGTTGACCACAACAGGGTAAATTTTATATTAATATTTATAAAAATATATATATCATAATTTTTAAATCAATTTTTTTTAGACAATCTCTAAAAAGAAATCAAATAATTTAATCGAATTGGGGGTACCCCTAATATGATATAATATTGATATAAGTTTTGAGACATCATATTTTGAATGAGTGTCAGGATTTTAATATATTTAATGATTGGCAATATAAAGTAGTTATTTACTAAATATAACCACTCTAACGTCAAGTGGCCCGGTAGGAAGAATTTAGTGTGGATAAAAATATCTACTGATAAACAGGGTGCCATGATGATAAAAATATTGAGAGGATATTTTATTTTTAATATCCAGCCATTATTTATAATCAATTATATATTTTGTATTTTAAGTATATATTTTTGTATATGTGTGATATCAGCTCAATAATTTTTTTAACAAATTTTAACAATAAAATCCTAAATTAGGCATTATGCACAATTCACATAAATATAATATAAAATGTGATAATTATCTTTTAATAAATGTTCACGATTATTAAATAGGCTAACGCCCAAAGACTATTTTGATTTAAATAATTCGCCCTCCCCCTGAGAGGCCATTAGCACCCCCCCCCCCAATTGGACTATCTTTTTTTCAAATATAAAAGCAGATTAATCCATTACTGGTATTCGTTGCGTTTACGAAACCTTTATAAAATTTTTAATTTCAATATTTTTTTTTGTTATGTTCGTTCGATTTAAATTTTAAAGTGCCAAAAAAAAATTTTTTTATATTAATTATCTAATATACATTAAATTATTTATAGATTTATATAGAAAATTATTTTAATAAAATAGTGCTTTTTAAATAACAACTAAATATTAGCCATTTACAGAGTTATATAGGTGTTAGAAAATGCTTCTCAAAATAAATCTGAGATTTTTCTGAGAATGCAAAAGCAAGATTTTTGATCAAATTTTACATTAAATAAAAAGTTTTTATGTAAATTTTTTTTAATAAATGAATTTTTTCTAATTTTTATGCATAAAAACTTTTTCATGGATGAAATCACAAATATTTTAATTAAAAATATTTTGACATTCTTCAAAAAAAATATCTTCTAACATTTTTTTAAAACTCTACATCCATCAAATATATTTTCTTATCATTGATTTAATATTATACATTATCACGCAATCCATAATTAATTATACGATCATAAACATTATACCATATGAACAACATATATAAATTATATATAATTTTCCCATTCAGCAAGTGACCATGCGATCTAATCCACCAATCTTCTGTTTCATCTTGAAAGCCATTAATGAGTGCATGCTTTCTCTTGACATATTAGTTCCCGTTGGTTGCAGGAGCCTGGACCTACGGTACTCCAAAATATCCATGGGTATGGGTGCAATTTCTATTTCCGGTTGCCTTAACTTGACAATTTTAATCACTTTATTCTCGGATTCCTCCTCTTCGGAGAAGTACATTAGATCCTCTAGCCCTAACATTTTATCTTGACTTTGTCCATCGCCGTCGTGGCGTTTATTTAGTATCTCTTCCCTCATGTACAATTTATCTAACGGAACTTTGCGCTCCCTTCTGTAGGAATCACCATCAGAATCATTTTTAGCATTTTTAGAGGGCTTACCTTTAGAATTTTTTAAAATACAATAATTCCAAAAGGAAACTAATCAAAATATTTAAAAAAACCAAAACATGTAACTTGACAAAAAAAGAAAGTTCGACTCTCACAAGTAGTGAAAATAAAACAAACAAATCCTCACTTATCTCCTTGTTCTTATCAATCCTGTGTTGAGCATTCATCAATTCTTCCATCTCTTTTAAAATCGCTGGCGATATGCGTCTCTCGTCTTCATCGATACTCTGCTTTTGTTTGGCCATCTTTTGAGCCATATACAGTTCTTGACCTATAATGATTAAATATAATATTAATACATTTCTTTAAATTGGTAGCTAGCTAGATTGAATAAATAAAATACAGATCATGAATGTATTCAAAATTTCTCCTAGTCCCTTAGTCACCAAAATTTTTATTATTCATTACTTAAGGCTATGCCCATAATATCAAAATTAAATTCATAAAATTTTATGAAAATAAATAAATAAGTTATTTTAAATATAAAAATATGTCCAAAACATAATTCTAGAAAATTTTATAAATTTAACTATAATTTCATTAAAATTTCAAAATTTGCGAAAGTTTTAAAACTTTTCGATTTTTTTTGATTTTGGACACAGTATAAAGGAACTGATTTGTCTACTCCCCCAAAAATGTTTCATAGCGATTAAAATATCTAGCCCTATAAATAATAATTTTATAATAAAATAAACTAGTGATATATTATACTTTTAGCTTGTTTTAAAATGACTTATTGAAAATTAGTAAAACCATCGCAAAACAAAGGATAAATAAATTTTCGAATTAATTTTTTCCCTATAATATGATAATATAAAATTTTTTTTAAAAAATTATGGCGTACGGTCTCAGGTGCCATTTAATAGTCTAGGAAACCGCTCTTTGGAAAAATAAATAATTCTGTCTGAAAATGAACTAAGATAGCGATATCTTACTGCAATTCCCTGCATTTGTAGAGTGAGAATTCACAGCGACGTATACAAAATTCGCGATGAAGAATATTACAGCGTTTTATATACTTCGAAGCGAATTCGCGCCAACTGTGAATGCAGGGTTAGGAGTAAAAATCATGTTTGGAAGTAACCTTAAATAAAAAAAAACTCTCTTCTAAAAATTATTTTAAAAAAATAGAGTTATACCAAAATGACAAAAAATCGCTTATAAACATGAATATATAATTTTTTAAAATACTAACCTAAGCGTCTTTTGGCTTTGGCATCTTCCCTCACCTTGTCTAGCTGCTTTTTAATTGCCCGGTCTCTAAACTGAACATCCTTAGTAGCCTTGGAGAAGGAAACTACTTCGGGAGCTTCGTCATCATCCATCATCGAATTGAGTGATTTGTTCGCGAAATTATTCCTGAATTTTGTAGATTTTTTTCTGAAGTTACCGTCAAAGGAGGTAGATAAATTCTTTTTTTTGTTGCCTCTTTTGAATAAATCGAAGTCTTTGCCAACTTTGGGAGAGTTATTTTTTAAAAGATTCTTCTTGAAGGGTTGTAATAATTTTTGACCTTTTTTAGATGATGATGCGGAGGAACTAATGTGGTTATTAAAGACCTTCTTAGGCAACTCTTCATTTGTAACAACATGAAGAGTATTGCATTTTCTTTCGGCACTAGAATCGACTATTTTTTTGTTGCTCTTTAAAACTGTTTTGGATATTTTACCCTTTTTGTAGGAAATTTTCTTGGGATCATCTAAGGCAAATTTTTGAGGAGCCTTGACATTTTCTTCAATTAAACTTGGAATGCTACCATAGTTGCTGCTCCGTGTTCTCATTTGTTTATTCTATTCTATACTTTGAACCTGATTTTGATATAGCATTTTGTGCAATAAAAATATCAAATTGAATGGTAAAGCTATTAATTTTGTTAAGCAATATTTAAGGTTAGAATATATACCATATTTTTAAAACCCTTTTTAAAATTATATATGCGATGGATTCAGAGGCTCAACAGACACCTGCCCCCTTCAACAGGATGGGAGAAGGCAAATTATTTATAAGGCCTCCGATTATATTGATGGTTATCTTAAGAATTTTAGTTGTGGAAAATAATATTGGGGGGGGGGGGGGTTAAACATATTAGACTATAGCTCATAACACACCATAAATATAAATTGCTTAAAATAAAATAAGTTGCCCTATTATTACTATTTTTTTAAGTACATATATACCTAAAAAAATTTTTAAAAACAATGCATTGTAAAGCCCAAGCCATATATTTTCTTAAGCCAGCTCCTAGTTTTTAAACCCAGGAAGGATTTTTTCATTTATGGTCTGTCCCAGAATTTTCTCAGAAATAGGACATATAATGTATTTTATTGATAAATTCTGATATTTGATAAAAATGATAATCCATAATAGTATTTTTACCCCTCCTATTATAAAAGGTTTATTTTGATGTTCAACTATAAAATTTTCGGTTAGACATTGCATTTATGGAAACTGGACTAGACCAGGCTTAGATTTTTAAAAATCACCTCAGTAAACAGACTGGAACCCAGCAAAGCAAAAACTAAATCCCTAACAGACTGAAAATTTTGCTATTCTGCAGACCTCTATAAAGAATAATAGCACATTCGTTTTTTTCTTGGGTTTAGAAATTTTTAAATAAATTTTTTATAAATTAAGAACAGAATGTTATCTAATTTTTCTTTTATTCATGAAAGTCAATTATCATCTCTGAGTATCAGCCACTACCACCAGTAAAAATTAATACTAAACACCTTGTCATTTTTAAAAGTTCAGCCCAGATTTTTAAAAAAAAATTCTGCCAATTCTGGACTGGCAGATTTCACTGATATTAACTTCATTAGGCATTTGTTTTTTCCTAGGATCTTTTTATTAGAGGTCACCATAATCTGGCCTAGCCTAACAGGCAAATTCTGAAAAATATTGTATGGGCTAGTCTTAAGTTCTGCAAATGTTTTTAAAGTTGATAAAACAAATTTATGTTTTCCTGGATAAAAAATTATTCTGGGAATATCCAGACAACTTGTACAAAATATATTTTACACCAGGAAAAACCACATACAAAATTTTCCTGCACCGATTCAAGCTATCTCATCTCTACTTTTATTATCAATTAGATTAAAGATCTGAAATGGACAGGTTTTAAAACAAATGCTCACAAACCCCATGTTTAAAAAATTTAACCTGCTTACCCATGGTCTTCTTTATAAATCACCTGCCCACCTACTCATTTACCTAAAAATTTGACCAACCTGCTCAAACAATGTTTAAAAATTATTTTAAAGGTTGGCTTGGTTCTTTATTTATCTTAATTTAACCTTAAAAATTATGCAATTTTGTGAAATAAAAAGATTTATAAAGTTTATTTGCTGATTACACCCAAGAAATTCACCTGGCCATTGTTTTAAAAATATTTTTTAACTTGCCTGCTCACCCACCCAATGTTAAATTTTTTTTTAAATTCACCCATTGCTGATCTCTAAGGTAGATATCAATACTATTAGTGTACAAAATGTTGTTTAAATTTGTAATATTATAAGTTAATCAAAAAATGGTAATATCACAATAGACAAAAATGATATAATAAAATTTATTTTCTAAAAATATATAAATTTAGATTTTATATAATATTCAAATTATCAATAATTATAGTATATTCTTAATAATCAAAAGTTTTAGTGGTATTGGGAAAATGCATGCTTATATCTTATGCCCTTGTTATATTCTTAAGCAAAAAGAAATCTGGAGAATTGACTTTATTAGCAGGCCTAAATAATTTGGTAACGTATGTTATTTTATTAATAGCAATCGCATATCTAATCAAATTGTATTGTATAATAAAAAGCACAAGCTTTATTAAAATATTTCAGTAAACATGTGACAAGCTATTTTTATAAAATATCCAAGATTAATGAAAATTTTAAAATACAGTTATAATTTACGCTAGCGGTTCGAATATATTGAAGTTAATCTGCCAAGTTTGACATTGATATGTGACTTTATTTTGCATAATATTTCCATGATAATTAAGATACTACCCCAAATCAAGGAATTAGTAACTCAGGGAAATCTTATAATAGGCTGAAATATTTTTTATACATTTTAGCCTAGCCTTGCAACATTTAATAAATTGTATGCTAAAGGATATGATATTATAAGATTTTATTATTAATATTCAAAGGCAATTTATTAATATATACTATAAAGATTAGATTATAAAAATATATCTCTAAGAAAATTTTGAAAAAAAAAGCAGATCCACTCAAATTATTATTCCCATTAAAGAGAAAATCAAAGGATGATTTCATAGTTTTATATATCATAATTAATAACATAATTTTTTTGTTTTATCGAACATTTCTATTTTATAAAATTGAATCATAATAATTTTTTAAATATAAATGTAATTATATTTGAATTATATACATCATTCACAAAATTTATATATTCTTATAAAAATTCATTATAGACTATAATATATTTTTGATATGAAATTGCACATATAGATTATATAATTTTGAATAAAATTCATGATTATTATAGATAATATATATTTGCAAGCAATTTTTACATTTTTGTAACATAATTATAATGATAAGTAATTTTAAAATAATATATAGAATAAATCCTGTTGCCAAATTTTTTAAAACCCCATTTTTATTTTTTAATGGTAGGTTTGTCTGATTAGCAATTATGGCATTTAATCCATGATCTATTAAACATTATGAACTATTATGTTTAAACTAATTTATATGACTTTTTTTATTGATTGTAATAAATTTCATAAACAATATTATGCTAATTCATAAGATTTATTTTTATTGATTGCAATATTTCAAATTACTTATTAATAAATGCTTTGTCATATATAAAGCGCAATCTTTGGGGGCAAAATTATTAAATTTATATTTTTTTGCTAGCGTAGTGATATTTTTATAATATTTAACAACCAATAGCACTGTGTAAACGACAATTTCTTAGAGTTGGACCTAAATCGATAATTAATGCTATATTATATAAAATAATTAATAATAATAATATATCCATAGAATTGTATTAACTTGCATTAATCTCATATTATTAAATGTATTCTAAAACTCTTATAAACAGATAATTAAAAGATCAAGTAATCATTAATAAAATTCATGTGACACAGTTAAGGTGCTGAGCCTTCTAGCATTTGGAAAAAAACTCATTGTGTTAAGAAATATGGACCACCTTTATGGTGGTTTCATTTCATATGGTTTTTTATAAAGTTTTTATATCGCGATTCATTATCAAGGGTATAAAAATAAAGCATAGAATTATTGAGATAAATTATTATTAAAATTGTATTTTAATTTTGTTTTTAATGTTAATTACTAATATTTTTTATAATTTAAAGAACAAGAAGGTTATTTCATTCTTCATTATTTTAATTTAGGCTTAAATTGATATAAGATCTTTCAAATTATTTTAGATATTAGATAGATAAAATTGCCTTATTTACTCATTCCTCTCTTAATTTTTTATAAGTTTATGATTAAAATAATTTTGCCAGGTATTTATTTTACACTTAAATAGAATTAACGGGTATATAAATTAATACCATTGATAAAGAAAATTGACACAAAATATATGTAAGCATCTTAAAATAATTTGATGTATTGATAGAAATGATTAAGACTTCTTCTGAATATATATATCTAATAAAAATAAAGTGTACTAATGATTATCAAAATGAACTAGCAACCAACAAGTATACGTAAACCTTCAATTCAATCATCAAAAAATCTTCAACACCTCATTATAATATCTACTAGCATTTATTTTTATTGAAATGAAAATAATTGTGTACACAAACTAATTTGCAATAAATTTATTCTGTTATAGAAAAAATATATATAATATAATTAATATTTGATAAATGCAGCAATATTATTAAATAAATTTATTCAACTATATAAAATATATAAGAAAATATAATGTTTATACAAATAAAGATAAAAATCTATAAAAAGAGTTGCCATAAATATTATGGAAAAATACTTATGTAAATAATATATATAAAAGATTAGCTAATGTTATATTTGCGTTTTATTTTTTTCATTCTTTCTCTTATATCCAAAGATAGGTTGGACTTGGATTTTTGATTCCTTTCGATAATAAGTTTTTTGTTTAAAAATATTGATAAAATTAGTTGAGGTTTTTTAATTTTTAAATCATTTTTAATTTATGATAAAATAATTTTGTTGCTTTCGATAAAATGGCTTTATTGTATATATCGTTGGATAAATCTTCAGCATCCTCTAATGTCATTAATTCTACTTCAGTCAGCGTCTACATGAGCGGGAGGGTTAGGAACAGTTTGCATCCCATTTTTTTGAGGGGGTAGGGGGTAAGCTGCTTTAATGGGGGTAGGATAAATTTTTTTGGGGGTTATCTATTAAATTTTGAGATGAAATAAGACAAAGTTTATTGCTGTAAAAATTAATACTTTTATTATAGTATTATTATAATACAATTCATCGACCAAATCTATATATTGCAAACAATCATACACATTGTTTTCCAAATAAACTATCCTTTTAAATATAATTTAAAAGGTTTAAATATTTCAGCAAGCTCATAATGCCATAATAATTAATTCATTGTAAATAACGGAGGTTTTAATTAAATTTATTATCTAAAAAATAAATTCTTTATATTCACAAAATATCGATAGTTGGTAGTAGATAATTTAAGTTATCCATTATAAATTATTTGAAAAGAGTATCAATAAATAAATAGGTGTAAATAATGAAAAAGAGACATCTCCGCCGAAGACGGCGGGGATTTTTTAGGGGGGTAGGCAAAGGTTTTTGAAGGGGGTTTGCATCCAGTGAAAATCCTGTCATGTAGACGCTGACTTCAGTAAATATAATTATCATTATTATTGGAAAATGTTTCAATTCCATGGAGATTATTCGAATTTTTATTGTTATAAAAAAAAAATTTCGATTAAATCAGGAAGCTTAAAATCCTTTTTAATATTTTTCATAGATAAAGTCAGGGACTGCCAACATTAACCTAAAGCTAAAAGGTAAAGGCTAAAACTGTCTTATATAGTAATTGGGAGCGCATTTACAAAAATTTCTTTGAACTCTTTCATGATATAAGCCTAAATAAAATATTTAACAACATATTAACCTAAGGCTGGTATAGTGCACCATTTGAACCCTTTGTACAATTACACATTCCCAATTTAACATGGACATTATATGTACATTAAAAGGCTTAACGCTTAACACTTTATATTTTTATCACCCTTTTAAATTATTTTGTTTGTGATGGCATATCTAAGAAATAGGTAAATCAAATCTAAAAATTAAAAATTTATATAAATTGCGATATTTATTCTGCTAGATTTAAATAAAAAATAGAAACATGGTTATTTCATTTTGTGTCAACTCTTAAAATAAATATCTGGCAATATTATTTTGAACCGTAAAAAGTTTTTTAAAAAATTTAAAAACGTATGAAAATAACCTAACCAAAAAAGTACTAAACATTTCTTACACGATGGGCTTTTTCCAAATACATGTTTTATAGTGTTATTAAACAACGGAGCTACACTAGATATTCCTCATTTATATCAAACTGGATATTAAGTAAATATGAACCGTTGGTGGACCGCCGCAGGTAGATTTTCGCACAAAAGTCCAATACTTTCTTCTAAATCTAAAGGCGGAGATAAAAAGGTTAAGATAAAGCCTTAACCCTACTAAATAAAATTTTTCTTGTATATATGCAATTTTGCTCACAATAAGGTTCTACCTTTCTTAAAAGGAATTGGAAAAATAATTTATTTTAAGAAACTTATTCCATTTTTATGTTTCTTAAGTCTTTTTATGTAAACTTGCTCAAAATGGTAGATTCTAACATTTATATTGCAACTTATTTTCAATCATAATATCATTCATTTAATATCTTATTTTTCTCTTGCAATAAAATTCAACGAATGAAGAAGTATGCATGCAGATGATGTTAACAAACCTAATGAAAATTAATTTACATATATATTTTTTAATATTGAATTTAAAAAGATATTTAAAATTTTACACATGCTTATATCTTGTGTAGTAAAAAATAATAGAAACCTTACACATGTAAAAAATAAATGAATTGTGTAAAAAAAATTATTGGTAAAATCTCCTAAAGAGTGGATAAAAGGGGTAACAAAAAAAAGGCATAACAAAGGTATGAGATTTAATACTAAATCTACATCGAGAGATCTCTAAAGATATTCAATTCATTGTATCGATAAAACATTTCCCGTGGATCTCCTCTCCAGTATCTACATTATTTTTTTTCAGAGAGTAATGAAATTTTTGGAAAGCACTATCGTCAAAGCTTCATAAGGCATTAATAACGAGCATAAAAAAGTTAATTTTGTAGGTCGGAGTATTTTTTTTTTAATGTTTCGTCGTTGCCTGGGGCAAAATGTGAATTTGTTGATTTGGCTGAGAAATCAACACAAGTATAATAGTCTAGAAGAAAGTTGTAAAACCAAGGTAATATTATCGATCTTTTTAAACTATAATTTAGGAGACAAACTTGTTTAAGAATAAATTGTGTATTAGCCTTTTTGAAACTTGTAGTATAATGATGTTCATTGCTTTGGTGCAGGTTAGTTTTTATGGAAATATTTGTAATGCAGTAGGTTGATGCCCTTTATTATCTATTATATTAATACAGCCAACAGAATTAGATGGAATTACTGTGTTACAGCCAAGGTGGACTGAGATAGAGAATTTAAGTTGTTCTTCTCAGAGGGGTAACTCTTACAGACTGGGTATTGCTTGTTATCGTAATATAGAGTACTTTATTATAGCCTTCCTGGTATCATGTGCTGATATTTTTCTAAGGTTTATATACATTTTACACTTAATTTATACTTTATCTATATCCATAAAAATAAATCTAGAAAAACGCGAGTTAAAGAAAATTAAT